GAAAAGGTGTTTAATTGGGTTGCCGTGTGATACAAGTTTATCGAGCATTTTCTTTCTATATATACTGTATTTTTTACATGAACGCATTATGTGTTTTTCGTTTTCTATTAAATTGCAAACCTCGCAAATTCTTTCATCGATCTTTAATTTTGGGCGTTCGTATCTACCCGTTTCTATTTTTAATTTGTGGTTACTGATACGAAACTTTGTTAGACTTCGTCGTAAATGCCCATTTGAAATTGAATCTAAATATGGTTCGAACCTGAAATTGCTTTTAAATATTTTGTATGTATTCAGTTTGCGACATTGGTCGGAATTCAATTGATTTCGCCAATAATCTTCAAAACTAATTTTTGATTTACAAACAACTTCGGATGCGTCAATAGTATATTCTTTTACATCTAAAGTATTATTGATATTGCTGGGAGTATTTCCTGAAAATGGTATATGACAAATAAACTTTCTTTTCTGATAGAGTTTTGAGCTTTTCAATGTTTTTTTGATGAAGGACTGAAGGATGATAGGGGGCTCAGGTTGAGTATTTCTAGATTATCATACTGACTTATAATAATATAAGTTGAAACACAATTAATACGCATGTATTGGTTTTCCTTATCGTCAGTGATTGACATGATGGGTTATGTAAAATGTTTGCATGTGTGCTCAATTTCCACCAATTTTCATGCTAATTTCAGAAGCCCTTGTGCACTCTTGTGCGCCTCAGCATTTAGAAGTTTCTATTATACCTGAGATTGCACTGGTTGAGAATTGAATAAATCGCCCAGATCTGCTAAGTCACCACTGGCTGTACTTTGCACCACTGTAGTGTTTAGAGGCTTAGCTACCCCACTGTCTTGAATACCTACAAATAAGATATTTTGAAAGTATTTTGAATCTACTCATGTAGAACAAGGTATAACATGGCAAAATGTCAATGAACAATCTAGACAAAATATTGCCTAGTGATGTTGAAGCCACAGGAGCAAGTTTAGAGTGCATTAAATGTTTCATATTTACAAGATAATATGGAACTTAGAAGTTGATGTACTAGTACTTTTTTCACTTAAGTCCCTTAATGTTTAAACAAATTTTATCTTCTATTTTGTGGTGTATATTCTTCCTCTTGGATAACCCTTAAGTCTACAACATCACACCATACTTTTCATGCAAAATCCACTGTACTTTCTTTGGAA